GGGGCCAACAGGAATTTCCAGAAGGGTCAGATACAGCGCACGAGAGCGACGACTCAGGGATGACAGAGAGTTTGGGCCTGGGCTTGAGAGGAAGACGGTGAGAGCCCACAGCTCCCTGGGCCTTGCCGGTCCCCCTGCCGGGCCATGAGAGGCAGGGGCAGGGTGAGCCGGGGTCGCCGGCCCGGGATTGGGTGTGTGCGATCAGCTCCCACTCTCTCAGACCTGTGTTCTCCAAAAGCGCCTTGGCCCAGGAGGGCACGACCAGGCCCAGGCCCCATGTCAGAGTTCCCTGGCCCTCTATCCCCACCTCCTCTTCCGCACCCTGCCCAACCTCAGTGTCCCAGGAACACGGGGCGGGTTGGGACACGTGCCTGGGGCCTGAGTCAGCCCCATCAGTGAGTGTGGAGGGGGCACCTGGGACCTGCTCCACCTCCTGCCTTCCTGGGCTTGGCCCAGCTGCCCCCACATCCCTGCCTCTGTTGCCCCAGGCCACGGCTGCGGCTCTGGGGGCGGGCACAGAGCTGCCCCGCCTGCCCTCCCTGGGATGTTGTGGGGATGAGGGAGGCAGGAAGGCCTGGGGCCCAAAGCACCAGCAGGAAGGAATGCAGGCCGGGTGAGCCCGTGGGGCCCAGGGACAACGTCACGGCCGCCCCGCCCCTGTCGCTGTCACGGGTGTAGCCCGGCCTCTCCTTCCCCTGCCCAGCGCGGCACTCACACAGTCTGCACACAGCTGGCCTGGCTGTCCAGACAGGCCTCAGCGGCACAGGTAAGGGGGCGCGGGGGTCGTTTTTAAGGCTATCAGCCAGGAACAGGGTCCTAACAGGCTTGGCCTTATCCTTCCGTGGTGGCCCAGGTTGGAAGGCCCTGCTTTGCACCTGCCTGGCTGGCTGGGCACCCAGACTCTGTGTCAGAAACAGTCAGAGGAGGGAGGCAGATGTCACCTTCTGAGTTGTTTTGAGACTCCCGGCAGCCTGCGCCTGGCCGTGGCAAGTGACCAGCTTCTGCTTCTGTCGCCAGCTTGCTGTGGGACCCTCTCCGAGCGTCCGTTTCCCCACTGCGCACCCTGCGGCTAGGGGACCCAGCAGCTCAGGAGGGTGAGGGCCCAAAGGCCTCGGCCCCTGGCCCGCAGCAGCAAGGACAGCAGGTGCCCTCCCCCGCTGGACCTGGGAGGACCGAGGCCGGGGATCTCCGCCTGCCTCGTGCTCAAAGGCGCCTCTGGGAGAACGTACCGGGCAGAGGGAGCTGGGCCCTGGGGCAGAGCCTCCCATGCAGGTGGCGTGGCCTCAGGGGAGGGCTCCACTGGCCAGCCCCTCACACTCCACCCCCTCCCTCCCCAGAGCCACCAGCCTCACCCTGGAGTGGCTGGGCTCGGACCTCAGGAGTCCTCGGGACAGAACCGGCTCTCAGGCCTCAGGCCAGCTCCTTTTCCTCCCGAGGGCGCCAGCGTACCATTTTCTCCTCTTTCCCTTGGAAAATGCCCAGAAAGCCTCAGAGCCCTAACTAGGGTGTTAGGAGCATGGTGGTGGTGGTGGGGTGGCAGGAGGAAGTCAGGCTAGGGGAGCCCCCCAGGACCCCTGCCTCTGAAACCCCCTGCGGAGCATTTGGGGGTCCCCACTGTCACAACCACCATGGCCTGATGTTCTCATCCTTTCTTAAAATTTTAATTATCATGTACTTGAGAGGCAGATTTCTATATATACATACACATATATATGTATGTATGTGTGTATATGTGTGTGTGTATATATATATATAGAGAGAGAGAGAGAGAGAGAGGAGAGAGGGAGGCACGGAGCCCTCATCCCCTCATCTGCTGGTTCACTCCCCAGATGCCTGCTGGGCCAGGCTAAAGCTCGGGGCTGGGATCTCAGCCCAGGTCTCACGGGGGTGGCAGGAGTCCAGTTCCTTGGGCCACTGCTGCCTCCCAGGGTCTGCACAAGCAGCAAGCTGGAGTCAGGAGCCAGAGCTGACTATGAGAGCCGGGCATTCAGACATGGGGTCGGGGAGGGGAGGGACGGGTGTCTTCCTCCAGGCTGGACACCCGGCCTTCTTTGGGATTTTGATTTGCATATCCTGACTACGGTCCATGAGCGCTGACGGCGTCTATGTCTTCTCTGGAGAAATGTCTTCCAGATCCTTTGGCTGTTTGTCATTCTGCTGCTGAGTTACTGTGGCCTTGCCCATGTTTCCGGGGTGGGGCGGGTGTAGGGGTGTCCCAGGCTGCAGGGGTGGATGTGACGTGCTGAAGTCCCACACCCCGAGTGAGGCAGAGGCGGGCACTGCAGCCGGGTCGGTCTGATACAGAGCCACGGGCAGGCGCTTGCACTGGGCACCTCTCTGGTTTTCATTGCTGCCAACTGTTGGGGTGTGAGGGGGGAGAAACAGATGGGAAAGAGACAGATGAGATGGGGACAGAGCTGCAACAGCGAGAGAAAGGAGACCGAAAGCATTCTTGGGGGGCACAATCCCTGCCCCCACTAGTTTTCTGTGCCCCTAAATCTGGAATGAATTCTGATTAGACCTAATTAGACCTAAAAACTCAAGTGTGAGGGTGTGCTGTGGCATAGCGGGTTAAACTGCCACCTGCAGTGCCAAGTATCCCAAGTGGGCATTGGTTCGAGTCCCAGTTGCTCCATTTCCGATCCAGCTCCCTGCTAATGCACCTGGGAAAGCAGTGGAAGATGGCCCAAGTGCTTGGGCCCCTGCACCCATGTGGGAAACCTGGAAGAAGCTCCTAGCTTCAGCTGGCCTAGACCTAGCTGTTGTGGCCATTTGGGGGGTGAACTAGCACATGGAAGACTCTTCTCTCTGTCTCTGCCTCTCCCTCTCTGTAACTCTGCCTTTCAAATGAATAAACATAAAACTTAAAAAAAAAAAAAAAACTGGAAGATGCAGGTGCACCTTGGCTTACGACTGCTCCACTCAGGATTTTTACTTTCTAGTGGTGCAAAAGTGACCCATGTTCGGTAGAAACTGTCCTTGAAAGAGCGCCAGGCTGTGTGGCTCAGTCCTCCCTGGTGATGGGCGGTGCTGAATGCCGCTGCCACCAGCCCCATGGTCAGGAGGGGACATTGCCGGCGCTGTGCCGCCCGCCTGGGATGCTCCGTAGGTCGTGTGGATTTAACACAGTTGTGACTTATGATGGGTTTACTGGGAGGTAGCTGCAAGCTGAGGTATAGGCACCCACCCAGCCCAATACGCCCTTGGCGTGAATTTCATCACCAGTGAGAGTGGGTGGGAACCTACTGTTCTAACAGTCGCCATCTTCTCTTTTTAGCAAGTAGCTGTTTTGGGTATGAGATCCCACTGACTCTTGTTCCAGAAGGAGGCCGGGGTGGCTCTGTCCTGCACTCTCCCTGCTGCTTGCTTGTACCCCCATGGTTAGCGTTAGCTCCAGCTGCAGTTTCTTACAAGCACGCTTTGAGCCACATGACCACACCACGAGGGCTGGTTCAGTGAAAACTCGATCGTTGGGCCTCAAAGCCACCCCAGGGCGTGGGCCAAAGGTGGAAAACGGCAGGTGCAGCCACAGGACACCTGTCTGCATTGCGGGGCCCCCACTGGCTCCTGGGGATGTGATGTGCAGTGTCTGCCACAGGCCGAGGGTACATGTCAGGGTTGAACTACCGAGCACCGGCCATTTGTAATTAAAAACCAAGTCTAAAGAGATGGACCAGTATTTTCCTCCCGCACTTTGGAGGTTATTTCTTGAGAGGCTATTGAGCTCTGAGTGCAGGAAAGCTAAGCCCTGGCACTCATTGGTTTGCCACCCCGAAGCCATTGCTGTTTTCCAGAAAATTCTTTAGGTATTAGGTGCCGACCCCTGCCTGGGCTCACAGCCCTGCCTGCCCCTGTCCTGGAGTAGCCTGCAGAGACTTGGGGACGGTGGCCAGGCCCATCCATGTGGTGCTCATCCCTGGGCTGAACGTCCTGCTCCTCGGCCACTTCGCTTTTAAGAATTTTTATTTGAAAGGCCGAGACACACATACAGAGAAACAGAGACAGGCAAAGAGAGATCTTCCATTCACTGGTTCACTTCCCAAATGCCCACAACGGCCCTGGCTGGGCCAGGCTGAAGCCAGGAGCTCGGAACCCAATCCAGGTCTCCCAGGGGAGTGGCAGGGCCTCAAGGACCTGTGCCATCACCTGCTGCCTCCCACGGTTCACATTAGCAGGAAGCTGGAATCAGAAGTGGGGCCAGGACTCAAACGCAGGCGTGGGCATCCCACGCGGTGTCTTGAACACCACGCCCGCTCTCTTTGCCGCTTTCCTTGGCTGCAGTCTCTGTGCCTGGCATCCAATGCCCAGCCCTTGTCCCCAGCATGGAAGATAAGCCACGGGGGAATGTGGGTCACCTTCCAAACGCACACTCTGCCTCTGCCTCTGTGATGTAAGGCCATGCGACCTCTGCCCTGTGGCTACACCACCCTTGGCTCATACCCCCCTTTAACAGTGGTCGGACACCTCCTACGTGTGAGCTACGTGCCAGCTTTCAAGCTCCACCTTTCGCTAACATCAACTTATCTTTCAGCTTGTTCTCTGAAAACCCTAGATCTTTCCATATGAGCAGGTTCCACCCGGGCTTGTGCGCTTGCTGGAACTTGGGCACTGTGCTCGGGTTGTCCTTTCCAACCCAGCCGCCACCCTGAGCTGCTCGGGGGCACCCCCAGGCCCTACGCTGCGGCAGGAGGCCCACCCCGCCCGTGGTCAGCAGGCTGGGCAACCGGGGAGTTACGTGGCACCTGTGTGGTCTCTGCACCTCCCTCGCGGTTGCACCTGGTCCTTGGATCTGGTTTCCCAGCCAGGCTCCCCACCAGGCCAGTCCCTTCCCCTTTCCTGGCCTCAGCTTTGTTCTCCTGGCAGCAACATGATGGGATTCTAACCTGGGAGGGGCAGAAACCACCAAGCCCGAGCAGCGGAGCAGGGAGAGGCGGCCCGGGGCCTGGAGGGCGGAGGGTGGTGGGGAACACGAAGGGGTGGGGAACGGCCATACGGGCATACAAGGCCCCGAAGATCTTTAGCTCTGGCCCTATCAAGGCCACTGCAGGCTGGACTCAGAATTCAATAACTCAATTTCAAGCTGAACACACTGTATGGCCCTTGTTATGACCATCCACGTGACCCCTGGCAGAAAAAAGGGCCCCCAGCCCTGTGAGGGGAGAGGGAGATGCAAAAGGCACTTTGCAAGCCAGATTCTGGCTTTCTTACTTTAAGTTTTAATTTACATATTTGAGAGACAGATACGTCCCATTTGTTGGCTCACTCACCCAATTCCCACTTGGCCGGGACGGAGCCAAAGCTGGAGCTGGGAGCCAGGAACTCCACCCAGGCTCCCACATGAGCAGCAGCAACCAAGTTACTTGAACCACTGCCACGGCCTCCCAGTCTGCATTAGCAGGAAGCTGGAGCCAGGGATCGAATCTAGGTGCTCATGGTGGGACGCGAGCTTCCTAACGGGGGTCTTAACACGGGGCGAATGCCCTCCCCCAACTATTTCTTTCAACACTCGGGGTGTGCACTTGGTGACTTCTCTTTCTCACACTCTGCCTAAGGCAGGGCACAGAACCTGTAAGGCACCACTAGAGCCTAAAGTCCTACTCCTGGAGAACCCCTCTCAGTCCTCAAAGCAGCCACTGACACAGCCTCATGTTCAGATGGGGAAACAGGCTGGGAGAGGGCCGGTGCTTCCCCCAAATCCACAGTGCTGGGAGTGAAGGGCTGTGGCGGGTTCTGCCTGACCCCGGCCTGAGTGGGGCTGGTGTCCGGGCTGAGCTTGAGGGTCGCACCAGCTGCTTTCCCATCCATGGCCCGGAACGCGGGCTGGGGGATCCGGGTCCTTGCTCAAGAGGTGAGGGAAAGCAGCAGAGGAGGGCCAGGTCCAAGGGCCGGGCCAGGTTTGAGCAGGGGTGGACCTGGGCCACCCTGGGGTCTCCAGACAGCTGAGCCGTTTCCTCCTCTAGCCTCTCTCCAGTGGCCCCAACTCTGAGGGGACAAACTGGCCGTCCTCAGGATTCTGGTGAATTCTCTGGTGCAAGACCAGGGCAGCTTCTGGACAGGAAGACCAGGCAGGGTCTTTCAGCCCCGCCCCCAACCTCCAAGCAGGGCAGGTGCTGAAGATTACATTCATCACCAACGGCCAGTGTTGTAACCAATCACACCTGTGTCCCCAGTCGTCCTCCCTAAGAAGCTGAAAGGTCAGGGAGGGGCCAGCGTGTGGCGGCGGTGGGCGGAGCTGTCTGCAGCACTGGCATCCCATATGGGCGCCGGCTCGAGACCCAGCTGCCCCACTGAAGAGCCAGCTCCCTGCGAATGCACCTGCAGAAAAGCAGCAGAGGATGGCCAAGTGCTTGGGCCCCTCCTACCCACATGGGAGACCCAGAAATAGCTCCTGGCTTCAACCTGGCCATCTGGGTTGTGAAAGAGAGGATGCAAGATCTCTCTTTCCCCTCTCTGTATAACTCTTTCAAAACAAATATTTTTTAAAAATGAAAGGACAGAGAGTTGCCTATGAGCTGGACACACTGGATCCTGGAGGGGGCTCTGTTCCTGCCTTGTACCCCACGCTGGGCATCCATGAAAAAACAGGTCCATTGGCCCGACTCCTGAGAGCTGCTCCAGCAAACTATCGGAACCCAGGAAGGGCACCGTGGGAGCCCAGCTCAAGGCTGGTCAGCCACAGGTTCTAGCGGCCTGCACTTGCCCCTGACGTCAGAAGTTGGGCCGGGTGTGACGTCATCGGATGGCGTCAGGGTGGCGTTTGAGGCCGCCCGGCCCCGAGTGCCAGAGGCCTGATGGACCTACCGTGGCTGGGGTGCAATCCTCCCTCCTCGGTGACCAAGGGTCCCGACCCTACTCTTGATTGTGCTTTGGGAGCGGGGTGGTCTCTGCCGAAGCCGCGCCCGCCCGCGGGAAAAGCGCGGTCTTTGGAAACCCAGCCTGGCGCTGCGCACGAGGGGCCCCGGAGCCCCCCACCCCCAACAGACCCACCGAGGCTGCAGTCCTGGGCCCTCACTGCCGCGGGACACGGAAGCCAGCTCTGCTGCCAACAAGAGCCTTCCTTGCTGGCTATCTCTACCTATTGTCACTGTTACTGGAAAAGCTGGGAGACACAGAGCTCTCCCGCCGCCCAGTCCCCTCGCCAAGCTCGTGCGCACCAGGGCTGGGCTCCCACCCTCAGACGGCCCGAGCCCCCACCCTCCACCAACTCGGAATCCACCTGGGTTCCGGTTACCTCGGGCTCTGCAGGCGGCCTCGGCCCTGAGCCGCGGGGACCGTCTCACCCGGTGCTGCTCCGACAGTTTCCAGATGGGAATTCCCAGGGGGGCTGGGATCCGAGGGTGCCGCGACAGCCCGTGGCGGAAGGCAGAAGGGCGAGACGGGGCTGTGCTCTCGCCATAACGAACGCATTCCCGCCACACGGTACCCGGGACCCTCACGGCGGGACCCTCGTGGCCTAGCCGTGTCCGCCAGGCCCCAGCTCCCAACACTGCTGCTGCTGTGAGGATGACGGTCCCAGCACAGGAACTTCGGGGGACACACAGCCCATCGCACCCATCCAGCGCAAGGTTCCTCTCTGCTTCGAGCTCTCGGGTTTTCCCATCTGTAAAGCGGCACAATGGCTGCCCCCCTGCCTCCTCCTGGGTGGCATGAGCTGGGTGCGGGGAGGGGGGGCGCTGTGGGGCCCGGGGCAGCTGGCTGTGTGTCCTGTTAGCTCCCCCCAACACCCATACTGGCCCCGGCCCTTGCGACAGCAGGAGTTCGGCCAATCTGGGCTGAACTAAGGGGAAATCCAGTTTAGCAAGACCTGTGGGTGCAGAAGCCCTGGCATCAGTGGTGACTCAGCAGGGCTGGGTGTTTCGGAGAAAAGGGCCAGGGCTAGGCACCTGGTTCCCTGTAGGCTCGGCCTCAGAGAAGGGACCCGCCCGGGAGGGGGCCTGAAAGCAGAGTGCGGCAGGGCACGAGGCTCCTCTCTGGGCAGGGGTGGATGTGAGGCCCTGGTCGAACTGGGGACCTCCGCTTCTTCCCGTGCATAGGTTGAGTAAGATCACGGGTAACGTGTCGTCTCCTCTTTCTACTTTCTGCTTACTTCTTGCTCCACTTCTCTGTCTCAGCTCCCCGTGGTCCATCTTGGCTCCAAAGGCAGTCACTTGCTGTGAACTGAGATTGTACTTATTTAAGAGGCAGTGAGACGGAGCAAGTTCCCATCTGCTGGGTCACTTCCCAAATGCCTGCAACAGCCGGGGCTGGGCCACGCCAAAGCCAGGAGCCAAACCCAGGTCTCCCACACACACAGGTGGCACGGACCCAGCTACTTGAACCAGCACTGCTCCTCCCAGAATCCACACTAACAGGAAGCTGGACCTGCGAGTGGAGCTGGGAATCCAAGCCAGGTACTCCCCTGCAGTGCGCAGGCATCTTCTAGCATCCTAACTGCCAGGCCAAACGCCTGCTCTGACTTGGCGGTGTCTCGGAGCGCCTCGCAGCAAGCCCTCTGCAGCAGCCTGATGTCCCAGCACGAGGGCTCTGTCCCCAGGTGCACTGATGCTTGGCTCTTAACTGTGTGCAAACATGGCTGGCAGAGGGGCGGGGCAAGGACACTAGGAGGGGAAACGGGCCTCCCCCGGGTCCTGCCTGCCAGGGTTCCCGAGGCTGTGAGGACACCCACTCAGGGCTCCCCTGGGGCTAAATATAACTACACCAGCATCATTTGCATAACACACTGATGACATGACATGCCCCACTGGTGACCTCTTTCCCAGTGCTAATGACGGGGGCCTGGGAGGAGATGCCGACATCACTGGTTCAGCAGCTACCCTTGCTCCACCTCTCACCAGCTGCATGGTCCTGGGAATCTGTCTTGGCTTTTCTGTGCCTTGATTTGCTTGTCTTTACAATGGGCACAATCACAACGAACCTTCCTGGTGTCATGGGAGGAATACAAGAGTGACTGCTGGCACAGGGCCTGGCAGACACAGAGCACTGACAATTCCTTCTCATCATCACCATCATCATTTTTGGCATGTACCCGGCCCTGCACAGGCTGTGGGTGGCACAGAGATGAGTCAGCCTTCATCCCTACTTGGCTGGGCTCACGGTCCAGTGGAGGGGACAAACCCTGGGTGTGTCAGGCCCTCTGCTGAGCCCTGGGCAGAAAATAGAAGTGACCAGCAACAGTGCTCCCTGGGCCTGGGCGCCAAGGGGCCCCACCTTGAGAAGAAAGAATCTGCTACTGAGGTACCCAGGGTGGCAGTGCCCTCTGGGTCCCCCATCCCATCCCTCCCTACTGCTGCTTCCTGCCAACTGTTTCCTGGGTGGGCCAGGGCTGGTGCCTCTGTGCCTTTGCACTGCTTCTCCCCCAACCTTTCCAAGGTCAGCCCCGGCAGCCCCTCCTTCAGGAACCCTTGACATTCCCTGAGGATGGATCTAGAACTTGCTCATGACCACACCCCCAGGGCTGGCACACAGTAGGTGTTCAATTATTGCCTGGATGCAGGAGAGGGAAGGTGCATGTGTTAGAATTGTTTCAGTGACAAATACCAAAAATCCTGACTATAGAAGCTTAAACCAAAGGAGGTTTATTTCTCTGAAATAACAAGAAAACAGGCGGTTTCTGGTGACAGCTCAGTGAGCTCCACCACCTCTCTGCATTTGCTTTGGATTTTCCTGAAGATGATTCAGTGGCCACTGGAGCTGGAACCGGGGAAACAAAATTGTAGTCTGGTTGGCAGGAGAGCAGGGAGAGTCAGGAATAGGAGTGGTGGGCTTTTATTAGGCATTTTTTAAAAATTCAGTTATTTATTTGTAGGAGTTACAGAAAGAGAGGGACAGACAGGCCGGCGCCGCGGCTCACTAGGCTAATCTTCCACCTTGCGGCGCCAGCACACCGGGTTCTAGTCCCGGTCGGGGCGCCGGATTCTGTCCCAGTTGCCCCTCTTCCAGGCCAGCTCTCTGCTGTGGCCAGGGAGTGCAGTGGAGGATGGCCCAAGTGCTTGGACCCTGCACCCAATGGGAGACCAGGAGAGCACCTGGCTCCTGCCATCGGATCAGCGTGGTGCGCTGGCCGCGGCGGCCATTGGAGGGTGAACCAACGGCAAAATGAAGACCTTTCTCTCTGTCTCTCTCTCACTATCCACTCTGCCTGTCAAAAAATAAAAAAAATTAAAAAAAGTCATTAAAAAAAAAGAGAGGGACAGACAGAGAATCTTCCATCTGCTGGATCACTCCCCAAATGGCTGCAACAGCTGGGACTGGGCCAGGCCAAAGAGCCAGGAACTCCATCGGGGTCTCCCGTGTGTGTGGAGGGACCCAAGTGGAACAGCTGGGACTCAAACCCATGTCCACATGGGATATCATTGTTGCAGGCAGCAGCTTTACCTGCTATGCCACAGCACCGATCCCTATTAGGCTTTTTTTTTTTTAATTATTTATTTATTTATCTGGAAGGTAGAACATGGCTCATTTCCCAAATGACTCCAATACCCAGAGCTAGGCTAAGCCAAAGCCGGGAGCCCAGCATTCCATCTGGGTCTCTCCATGAGGGTACAGGGCTCAAGCACTGGGCCATCCTCCAGTGCTTTCTCAGGCACATTAGCAGGAAGCTTGATCGAAGTACAGCAACCGGGACTTAAACTAGCGCTCAAAAGGGCACCAGCACTGCAGTTGGTGGCATCATCCACTGTACTATGATGCTAATTTTTAAGTGGATATTGTGTCTGGCCCGCACCGGATGTTGTAAATAAAGGTTCCCCACCCCATTAGACAGATGGTCCCTGAGTGGGGGTGTTTGTTGCAAGGACGTGCTGGATGGCCACAGTGGGGCGGGGGTGTTGCCGGGGTCCCAGAGGCCGGTGCTGAGCCTCTCCCCAGGGGGCAGCAGGATGGGCGCTGAGAGGCCCAGGTGTTTGAACTCCTTGTTATAAGTAGCTTCTAAAGAGGTTTCTTGGACTTAGATTGCTGGCAGCAGGAGGGCCCAAACAGCTTGGGCCAGCATGGTGGAGAGGGGCCCTGGCTGTGTCACAACATGGCGGGCCAGGAAGGGGCCACGTGCAGAAGAGACCAAGCACACGGTGGCCTTGCTGGGTACCGACCTGCCCTCTGGAGAGCTCCTGCCCTGCCCCCGCGGGAGACCAGCACTCAGCCTCAGACTTAACCTCCTCCGGTGGGCCCCGGCGCTTAAAGGGCCCACAGTAGTGCCTGGTCTGAGAGACTCGTGACTCTGCCTTCTTCCAGATTTAGAGAAATAGGGCAGGAATCAGAGAGCTGCACCACTCGGCTAAGCTGCTCTATCAGGGACACAAAATACAGGGAACACGTGGTTCCTGTGTCTGTGGGGGTCCAGGTGGGTCACAGGTCTGTGCAGGGGACCTTGGGCCCAGCTCCCTGGGCCTGTCCAGGGAGTGCTTCCTTGGGAGTTGGCCTTGTTGGCAGGACTGGTTCATGATTCACCACCCCCAAGTCTGCACCCCTGCGTACATGAAGCAGGAAAGAGCAAACAGGAGCCGAAAACCCAGAGCCAGAACCGTGTTCCACCAGCTGAGAGAACTGGTTGTTAAAACTTCAGGAATTTGGGGAGCTGGTTGTCAAACACAATTACTGTTCTAAGTTAAGTGAGATAAATAGACAATAAGTACACTTTCATTTTATAGCAATAGCAAAAGTGCAGGTACTCAGAACGTATCACTTGGGGTGATCTTCCTACTTTTTTTTTTTTTTTTTTTGACAGGCAGAGTGGACAGTGAGAGAGAGAGACAGAGAGAAAGGTCTTCCTTTTCCGTTGGTTCACCCCTCAATGGCTGCTGCGGCCGGCGCACTGCGCTGATCCAAAGGCAGGAGCCAGGTGCTTCTCCTGGTCTCCCATGGGGTGCAGGGCCCAAGCACCTGGGCCATCCTCCACTGCACTCCCTGGCCACAGCAGAAAGCTGGCCTGGAAGAGGGGCAGCCGGGACAGAATCCGGCGCCCCGACCGGGACTAGAACCTGGTGTGCCGGCGCCGCAAGGCAGAAGATTAGCCTAGTGAGCCGTGGCGCCGGCCCTGATTTTCCTACATTCTGCCGGCACCTGTGCCCTGGAGGTTATCCCTGTTGAGTTTACCTGTGTGGCGGCAAAACTGTGCGATGCGGGGGCTGGCACGTACCTCCTCCCAACTCCAAGCTCCGTGGCATCGCTATGGTAACTGGAAATCAGACACAAGGGACTTGTTGCACCCTCGTAATGACAAAGCAGATCCCGTTTGTGTTGCTGATTACCTACATTTAACATAGTGGTTTAGAAAACGCTAATAGCGCAGATTCACCCTACAACTATTGCACCTGCAGCCCGGGCCTTGTGGGCAGTGTAAAAAGTGAAGGACGTGTTCTTGCGGAATTGGAAAAGGACTCTGGGATTCAGCAGAGAAGCCTCGCTGACAGCCTGGTGAAGCTGCACGTCTTCGTTGTTTCCGTTTGTGAGAGTGAACACCAGCAGCACTCACACAGCAGGGGCTCTCGTGTGATGTGAGCCACTGTCCGCATCTGTTAGTAGCCAAGCAGTTATTTGTGGTCTGACTTTTTTTTTTTTTTTAAGATGTATTCATTTATTTGAAAGTCAGAGTTACACAGAGAGAAAGGAGAGGCAGAGAGAGAGGTCTTCCATCCGATGGTTCACTCCTCAATTGGCCGCAATGGCTGGAGCTGTGCCAATCCAAAGCCAGGAGCCAGGAGCTTCCCCCAGGTCTCCCACACGGGTGCAGGGCCCAAGGACTTGGGCCATCTTCTACTGCTTTCCCAGGCCATAGCAGAGAGCTGGATTGGAAGTGGAGCAGCTGGGTCTCGAATCAGTGCCCATATGGGATGCCGGTGCTTCAGGCCAGGGCGTTAACCCGCTGCGCCACAACACCGGCTCCATATCTGATTTTTTTTTTAAAGATTTATTTATCTATTTATTTATTTTAAAGGCAGAGTTGCAGAGAGGAGGAGGCAGAGACACAGAGAGGTCTTCATTCACTGGCTAACTCTCCAATGGTCTCAATGGGTGGAGCTGAGCTGATCTGAAGCCAGGAGCCTGGAGCTTTTTCCGGGTCTCCTGTGTGGGTGCAGGGGCCCAAGGACTTGGGCCATCTTCTACTGCTTTCCCAAGCTATTAGCAGGGAACTAGATTGGAAGTGGAATAGCTGGGGCTCAAACCAGCGCCCGTATGGGATGCTGGCATTGCAGGTTGTGGTTTTACCTGTTATGCCACAGCACTGGCCCCTGTGGTCTGGTTTTGTGACATTACGTTTAGCAATAGTATTTATTTATTTATTTATTTATTTGAAAGGCGGGATTACGGAGAGAGCAGAGATGGAAAGATGACCCATCTGCTGGTTCACTCCCTAAATAGCCACGGTAGCCAGGGCTGGGCTAGGCTGAAGCCAGGAGCTTCATCTGGGTCTCCCACATGGGTGGCAGGGGCCCAAAGACTCAGGCCATCTTCTGCTGCTTTTCCAGGAGTATTAGTAGGGAGCTAGACTGGAAGTGGAGCAGCCAGGACTTGAACCAGAGCTCGTATGGGATGCTAGCGTCGCAAGTGGCGGCTTAACCTGCTGTACCACAATGCCAGCCCGTGGCAATAGGTTTTTATAAACTGACAGTGGGTGTAGCAAGAAACACCAAGTTGCACTGCTGCTACAGATGTGCAGAAGTCACAGTGAGGGGTGCTATGCAAACACACTTCAGAAAGCTCAGAGAAAATGGAATTAAATGTCTATTTTGGTGTAAAAGAATTTTGAAGTCTGCCTACGGTTTTGCTAAGAATACGCCTACCCGTTTTATGTGAACTTTTGGAAGCACCCTGTGTATTTTATTGCTTCTAAACTGTGTGCAATACATTCTTCACATCAGTAACATGTATAAGTGTGTACATACAAGGTATCTCAAAACGTTTATGGAAAATGGAATTAAAATAAGTTTATTTTAATGCCAAAAGTTTGCAATCCACTCACAACACAAACTGTTTTTTAAGATTTATTTATTTATTTGAAAGGCAGAGTTACAGAGAGGCAGAGAGAGAGAGAGAGGTCTTCCATCTGCTGGTTCATTCCCCAAATGCCTGCCATAGCCAGAGTTGCACTGATCTGAAGCCAGGAGCCAGAAGCTTCTTGCGGGTCTCCCACATGGGTGCAGGGGCCCAAGGACTTGGACCATCTTCTACTGCTTTCCCAGGCCACAGCAGAGAGCTGAACTGGTGCCCATCTGGGATGCCAGCACTGCAGGCAGCGGCTTTACCTGCTACGCCACAGCGCCGCCCCCCACCTCAGACTTTTAAAAGATCCTTTGTATGCGTGGATTTCTCCCAAAAAGTTTACTTTCAAAGGAATCCCAGAAGTAGTATAATTTTATCATAAATATCTCAGCATTTATCTGTGAATTTATGGAGGCTTTCAATAAACACAACATCAAATATAAATATCACAGCTAGGGGCCAGCACTGTGGCGCAGCAGGTTAACACCCTGGCCTGAGGCGCCGGCATCCTATATGGGCATTGGTCCCTATATGGGCATCAGTCCCAGCTGCTCCACTTCCTATCCAGCTCTCTGCTGTGGCCTGGGAAAGCAGAAGATGGCCTGGGCCCTTGGGCCCTTGCACCCACGTGGGAGACCAAGAAGCAGCTCCTGGCTCCTGGCTTCGGATTGGCGCAGCTCCGGCCGTTGCAGCCAACTGGGGAGTGAACCAGTGGATGGAAGACCTCTCTCTCTGCCTCTCCTCTTTCTGTGTAACTCTGATTTTCAAATAAATAAATAAATCTTTTTTTATTTTTATATTTATTTATTTATTTATTTGACAGGCAGAGTGCACAGTGAGAGAGAGAGAGAGAGAGAGAGAGAAAGGTCTTCCTTTGCCGTTGGTTCACCCTCCAATGGCCACCGCGGTCGGCGCGCCGCAGCCGGCGCACCGCGCTGATCCGATGGCAGGAGCCAGGAGCCAGGTGCTTTTCCTGGTCTCCCATGGGGTGCAGGGCCCAAGCACTTGGGCCATCCTCCACTGCACTCCCTGGCCACAGCAGAGAGCTGGCCTGGAAGAGGGGCAACCGGGACAGAATCCGGCGCCCCGACGGGGACTAGAACCCGGTGTGCCGGCGCCGCTAGGCGGAGGATTAGCCTAGTGAGCCGCGGCGCCGGCCATAAATAAATCTTTTTTAAAAATCACAGCTAAAAGTAAAGTTCTTAATATTACCCAAAGTAATCATTATTCAAATTTCCACTGTTTTGTACATTATTTTGCTTATTCCTTCTAATACTGGGTGCTTGCCTCTTCCTCCTGTATATGCCAAGCTCTTTATGTATTCAGCACGTGCATGACCATGGGCTTCAGTGACTCGTTCTTACTCTTCCAGGGGAAGCCATGGAGACGTCAGGGTCCTTGTCGCAGTCTCACGACCATGGCCGGGTCCCGAGAGAGACATACGATGGAGACTGTGAGTGGGCTTCAGGGGAGGAGGAGCCCACGGGGAGGTGGGGGGAGGGACCAAAGACCCTGCTCAGCTCACGTGGTCACTGGCTGGAATCACCGTTCAGAGAGGCAGGGGTTTCGTACACGTCCGCGCCTGGGCTGGGCTGTCCGAGCGCTTGCTAGCTGGGACCCTCAGTTGCTCTCCAAAACCCCAGGAGCCCTACAAGGGTCCTGTGTGGCCCCAGAACGGGACCGGCAAGGGGGCTGGCAAGGTCCCAGCTTGGCTGCAGTTTGCCCAGAATCCTAATTGGTGGTGACGCCAGGGAGTCTAATGGTTTCTGGACGGGTGGGAGCTTGGAAGCCCCTTTCCTGGGGCCCGGAGACAGAGAGGAGTTTGCCTCGGGCCCTCCCCGAGCCCCTCCCCGTCAAGGTCTCTGAGAGCCTCGCGTCTGGGAAGAGGATCTAGTCCCTCCTGGCCCCCCAGCCCAAGCGGGCTCCTGGGGCGGCACGTGACCTTGCCTCGCTGTGCCTTGCAGACGGAGAGACGGGTGTCCAGGAGCAGGACGACCCATATGAGAGAGACAAGTCATCCTCGTCCTCCTCGTCATCCTCTTCGTCGTCGTCCTCCTCCTCCTCTTCCTCCTCCTCCTCCTCCTCAGGTACAGCCAAGATCTAATATGCATTATCTGTACATCACAACATTCAGGAGAAATATTCACGTGAGCACACAACCCCCACCCGCCGCGTAACTGAAGTGCCTGCTGCTTCAGCGCAGTTCCGAGCGTTCCCTTCTAGAACCATCTGTGCACATGTGTGGGGTCCTCAGAATGTTCACGGGAAGGGGAGTTGTGAAAACAACACGTCAGGATTTCAAAACGTTTTTACAACAAAATGAACTTTAAAAAATTTTTTTTAATTTTTATTTATTTATTTGAGAGACAGAGTTACAGACAGTGAGAGGGGAGAGACAGAAAGGTCCTCCCTCCATTGGCTCGCTCCCCATATGGCCGCAACAGCCAGTCCTAACCCAGGAGCCAGGAGCTTCTTCCAGGTCTCCCACGAGGGTGCAGGGGCCCAAGGACTTGGGCCATCTTCTACTGCTTTCCCAGGCCATAGCAGAGAGCTGGATCGGAAGAGAAGCTGCTGGGACTAGAACAGGCGCCCATATGGGATGCCGGCACCGCAGGCAGAGGATTAACCTGCATCACAGGGCTGGCCCCCAAAATGAACTTTTTAATTCCATTTTCCACAAATTTTTTAAAGCCTCCTTGTACACGGGTGTGACTGATTATAGAGATGAATTTATGCTCCGTTTTAAATTGTGTCTAAGCATTGTGCCAGGTTATTGTGTTATATCTTTACAAGTTTTTTTCCTTTTCTTAAATTTATTTGAAAAGGGGGGGGGATGGGCAAAGAGAGAGAGAATGCAGTTCACTCCAAAAGCACAGTTGGTCAGGCTGCAGCTAGGCGTGCAATCCAGGACTGCCACGCGGTGGCAGGGACTCATACTACCTGAGCCATCACTGCTGCCCCCAGGTGTGCACCAGCAGGAAGCTGGCACTGGGGGCCAGAGCCAGGACGTGAATTCAGATACTCCAGAGTGGCATGGGCCTCTGACCCAGAGTCTAACTGCTAGGCCAAGGGCACTGCTTTAGAGCTGTGTTTAATGTTTATATCAAACCTACTGTGCTAGTGACTGCATCTTATCCAAGCTTCGTTAGGGGGCGCTCTAGTGCCGTAACCAAAGCACTTGCTGTCTGCCACTAACTACATGCCCTTCCTTCAGCACACTTCCTTTTTTTTTTTTTTTTTTTTTTAAGTTTTATTTATTTGAAAGGCAGAGATACAGAGAGAGCCATTCATTCTCCAAGTGGTTGCAATGGGTAGGGCTGGGCCAGATTGAAGCCAGGAGCCAGGAGCTTCTTCTGGGTCTCCCACCTGGGTGCAAGGGCCCAAGGACTTAGGCCATCTTCTGCTACTTTCCGAGGTCATAGCAGAGAGCTGGATTGGAAGTGGAGCAGCCGGGACTCCAACCTGTACCCATGAGGGATGCCAACACTGCAGGCAGAAGCTTAACCTTTTTTTTTTTTTTTTTTTTTAATTTATTTATTTGAAAGTCAGGGTTACACAGAGAGAGGAGAAGCAGAGAGAGAGAGAGACATAGAGGTTTTCCATCTGATGGTTCACTCCCTAATTGGCCGCTACGGCCGGAGCTGTGCCGATCTAAAGCCAGGAGCCAGGAGCTTCTTCCGAGACTCTCACGTGGATGCAGGGACCCAAGGACTTGGGCCATCTTCTACTGCTTTCCCAGGCCACAGCAGAGAGTTGGATTGGAACTGGAGCAGCCAGGTCTCGAACCAGTGCATATGGGATGCTGGCGCTTCAGGCCAGGGTGTTGACCTGCTGCTCCACAGCGCTCTCCCCGTAATATGTCACAACACTGGCCCTTCCAATAGGGTCAGAGTGGACAGTGAGAGAGACAGAGAGAATGGTCTATCCTTTGCCATTGGTTCACCCTCCAATGGCCGCCACGGCCGGCGCATCGCGCTGATCCGAAGGCAGGAGCCAGGTGTTTCTCCTGGTCTCCCATGGGGTGCAGGGCCCAAGCACTTGGCCATCCTCCACTGCACTCCCTGGCCACAGCAGAGAGCTGGCCTGGAAGAGGGGCAACCTGGACAGAATCCGGCGCCCCGACCGGGACTAGAACCCGGTGTGCCGGCGCCGCAAGATGGAGGATTAGCCTAGTGAGGCACGGCGCCGGCCTCTGATCTGCTTTACAACATGAGCTTAAGGTCTTATCTGATGCAAAGCTCCACAGGCTTTAAAAAACAAACAAACAAACAAACAAACAAAAAAGCAAGCACGCAAAGCCCTGGTCTCAGGTCCGCGTGTTGCAAATGAGGCTCAGGAGTGCAGTGTCAGTGTTACTTCGGCAGCACAGGAAAGGAGACGGCCTCCCTCCCCAGGCAGAACAGAACCCCTGCTCCGGCATGGTTCACTCCGGAAGAAGAGCTTCCGGGCGCGGGGGCGGGTTCCCGGCCTCTGTCCCCACTCCAGCCAGGAGGGACTGCTGTGCCCTCTGCCGCTGGCTGACCCTCTAGGAGTGCTGCCCCCCAGTGTGAGCTGAGCCCTCCCCTCCTGTCTGCACAGCGCAGCTGAGCACTAAGAGGAAGCAGTGGGAGCAGAGCCCCGGGCCCTAGAAGCACTGAGGCAGAGTTGAGGGTCCTGGCCCACCCCCACCTCCCCCTCGCCCCTCTCCAGGATGCAGACTCCGCCCACCCTGCAGGCCCCTGCCCTGCAGGCCCCAAGCCTGAGTGCCCCCCTCAGCCTCTGCCTGTCTCACACGCAGGACCCTACCTCAGCGTGCGGCATCCCGCATGGCCTCTTGTTTTAATGTGTCCTGTGATTTTTAAACGAAGTCTCATTTTCCATCTACGCAGAGCAGAAAACATAGAGCATGGAGGGAGAGAGAAGGAAGCAAGCAGGCCACCGTCCACCCCGTCACCCAGAAGCAACTGCCACTCCCCACATTTATTCAGTAAAGATCTTTAATCTTCATTTATTTTCACCGACAGGTAGACCAACGGGGGGGGGGAGAAAGAGAGAACCCTCCGTCCACTGGTTCATCCCCCAAATGGCCACAACAGCCAGGCCTGGGCGAGGCTGAAGCCAGGAGCCTGGACTCCGTCTGGGTCTCCCATGTGACTGGCAGGGCTCCAGGCGCCTGAGCCATCGTCTGCTGCCTCTTGGGATGCGTTAGCAGAAAGTTAGATTAGAAGTGGAGTAGCCAGGACTCGAACCCAGGCACTCGGGTAAGGGACGTGGGCTTACTCAGTGATAACACCGTGCGCGCCCCTATTCAGTAAATAGTTATTGAGCACCAACCATATATTAGTTTTGCAATGGGTACTGACAACACCAGCAATAAAGAGTGAGTCTTTCCTGGTTAATTTCTAAAATAATTGAATCAGAGAGCATTTGCAAAAATTATGCTCCTTTTACACCACCCACAGTCTTTAACACGTGTAACACAAAGTTTAGACTATGAATATATCATGGAGAAAGCTAAAATACTACTTACTCATATGCTGATGGAGGTCCTCTCTGGCTGCTAGAGTTTGGGGTGCTTTCTCACTGTCTTTCTTTGCTGTTTGATATTGTACAATTTGTATTTTCTTTGTGGCAATGAAAAAGTCTTTTTCGTGTTTGTGCTGATAAAAGAAGGTAGCTGTGATGCACAGCCTTAGCTCCCGAGAGACACGCGCTGGTGGAGTTGTGAGGTGCAGTGCCCCCGCCAGCCCCCCTCGCCCGGTCCTGCCTCTGTGATTCCTCCAGCTGCAGGTGGACAGTGCAGCCGGGAGCACAGCAGGTGGCAGGATGTGTGCAGGCTACTTTTCCTTCTCCTTGTTCTCTAACAACTCTGCCCGAGGCATCTGCACTGTTAGGTATTGCAAGTCATGCAGAGACACGGCGTCATATCACGGATTACATGCAAACATTGCACCGTGTTATACTAAGGGATTTGTGTATCCACAGGTTTTGGAATCCGTGGGGGCTTAGAACCGTGCGGATACCAAGGGCTGGCCGTACTTCCTGATGCTTCCTCTCTCTGTAGATAATTGATATCCTGTATGTACTGAGTTACAAGTGCAGTTCAATTGGCTTCCTAGAATCTAAACATTTTTTTATTTAGTTGAGAGGCAGAGAAAGCTCTCGTCAGCTGGTTCACTTCCCAGATGCCTGCAACAGCTGGCTGGGCCGGAGCAGAAGCCCAGAGCCAGGAACGTGATCCAGTTCTGCTCTGTGGGCGACAGGAACCCAGTTACTTGAGCCCTGGTTTGCATTGGCAGGAGACTGGGGTCAGCAGCTGGGACTGGGCATTGAACCCAGGTACTCCGGCGTAGGACACAGGTATCTTAACTACTGAGCTAACCGCCCACCCCCAGTGTCCTGGAATTTTCTGTTTGTCCTTGACTGACCAGGAGATTCCCATGCACATTGAGGGACACTCAGCTCTGCAGGGGCTGTCGTGTCATTCGGAGGACAAGGGAGTCCCCTGCCCCGGGAGCCGCCAACTCCTGGGCCTGAGCTTGTGGAAGACTGACTGGCCTGAGGGTGGAGACCCAGCCGTTCTTCCAGTCTTGGTTAAGCAGGCAAGGCACCCTTGGGAGGGGCAGGATGCCGACTGTGAGCAGCAGGAGCTCGGGTACTCAGAGAGGGGAGCACCGTGGGACCCCTGGGCCTTGTATGCACTGAGTCCTGCACTGACAGTGGCTGCCATAGAAACCCCAGAGCGGGGCGGGCAAGGGCGGTGTGAGCTGGGCGGTTGGAAAGGTTTTCTCCGAGGAACGTGACGTCAGCTTGAGCTTCAGGATGAGGGGGAGAAATGGGAAGAGCAGCGCAGGTGGTGGAGGGGGGAGCCACGCCCCGAGCGAGCGTGCCTTGGTGGGGCTCCTGCCCTTGGTGCGAGGGTGGGCACGGCCATCTCCATAACCTGACGTGCCGTGGGGACTTGTCTTCTCTCTGGGAAACCCTCCGTGAAGCGGACAAGGCAGCAGCCTAGGTGTTAACTACCTACGAAAGCAACAGAAATATCAAGCCATCCGTCCAAGGTCACCCAGAAAGTGAGCGGTGGGGCTGCTCCTCCCACCCCCACCCCCAGCACAGAGCTGCTTCCTCCAAACCACACTCACCGGAACGAACAGCTGGCCGCGGGCCGAGGGGCCACAGCTTGTGTTTGCTGTCTGCAGAGAGCGGTGAGGAGGACCAGCACCCCAGGGCAGCTGGAAACCCTCGGCAGAGCCCCCGCAGGCGCGGCCCATCCCGTAGGCGAGAGGCCTCACGCTTTCCCTTTGCTGGGGCGTTCCTCAGTGTGCATGTGAGCTTGTCTTGAGGAAGATGTCCCTCGAGGCACTGCTTACTGTAGGGCAAAAAGAGGATTGGCTAACGTCCGAGCAGAGTGCACGCGGTGAACAGTCTACACTCTGTCGGGTCAGAGCCACCCTTTGTCTGCCTCTGAAGTATAAGGGCAAAGGATCATTGCACTAGTTTGACCTCCGTACTTTGCCCCATTCACACACAGAAGGGGACCAGGGAGAGCAGGCAGAAAAGTATCAGGAAGCGGACGGATCGTGCAATACGGAGCAACTTTTATTTTCTCTTTGCTGCACTGTCCTATCCGATAAAGAGTTTACAGTGAGCCTGTTTCACTTTGTATTTTTTAGATTTATTCTTTTACTTATTTGAAAAGCCGAGATGCAGAGCAGGAGAGACCCTCCTTCCTCTGGTTCACTCCCCCAGATGGCCACAACAGCCACAGCTGGGCTGAGGCCAAAGCCAGGACCCAGAAGCGTCTTCCGGCTCTCCCACATGGGTGCAGGGGCCCAAGCTCTTGGCTCACCCTCCGCTGCTTTTGCCAAGTGTGTTAGCAGAGAGCTGGATCAGAAGTGGAGCAGCAGGGTCTCAAACCGGTGCCCATACGGCATGCTGACATCGCAGGCAGAGGCTTTACCCGCTACGCCACAACGCCGGCCCCCTAGCCTATTTTCTTTTTTTAACCACCAGAAGGAAATCATTTTTGCCAAGAAAAAATAAACAATAAATTTCAAGGGAAGAAAAGAACAATGTGGGGGAAAAGCCTGCATGAACGCCTCGCACAGACCCTGGCATACCTGAGGGGGTTGCTGACAGCTGCCCAGGAAGCTGGAGTGCGGCCTTGCCCTCCAGTTCTGGGGATGAAAAGCCCTGGGCCTGAGGCTTTTGGTGCGGGACCTGGCTGAGTTTCCCACTGGGGCTGGGGGAGGGACTTACGCCCCCTTCATGGGATTTCCCTGAGCACCAAATGAGATGTGCTTACTGGATACAGTGTCAGTAAATGGCAATGATCGTTGGCCTTGGACAGCGCCAGGTCCTCTCAGGCCCCTGCGCATTTTAGTAACCTGAACATTGTCTCCACTAGAGAGGCTGGGGGGAGTCAGACAGAGGAAAAGGCAGCACCTGGCGGCCGGCCTGGCCTCCTGCAGACCCCGGTGTCAGGACTGTGTTGTCCTTAAGGCTTCAGGCCCCCTGGAGGTGGCAGTGGCCCTGGGTGGCTCTGTGGCGGGGGAGGGGGACGAGGCACGCTCACTGGGAGCGCCTGTGCAGCAGGTGCTGGGTGAGGAGGGGGCTGCTGCTCCCTGAGGTGAGCCTCAGCTCTGCGCAGGGGAGTGGTCCACTAACCATGTGAGAGCGGGGGCCGGGGGCTCTGGGGGACAGGAAGTTGTCCCAGGCACACAGATGATGTGCACGGGGGAGGTGGAGGTGTGTGTGCTGCCCTTTGAGCTGTGACCTTGCCGGGGGGGGGGGGATGACCTGGAGTCAGCTGGCCTTGCTGGGCCTCAGCTTCCCACCAGCAGAAATGGACGAGATCGGTACCCCTGTCTCAGGGCGCTGGATGGAAAGGCAGGCAAGGAGAAGTTCAGAACTGAGTCCCGACAGCCCTCAGCGATGTGGTGATGGTTTCTGAGCACCCGATCGCTCCAGTGGAGACGGAGAAGTGACATGCACTTTGTTTGGTAGCGGTGTGAAGAATCAGGCCGATTTGTCAGAAAGAAGCAATTTGCCAAAGAACCTGAAAAGTGCACACTATCAGATAAGAAAGGCTGTTCTGGGGCACAGCGGGTTAAGCTGTCACCTGCTACGCCAGCATCCCTTATAGGCATCTGTTCAAGTCCCAGCTGCTCCGCTACCTATCCAGCTCCCTGCTAGTGCACCTGGGAAAGCAGCAGAGGATGGCCCACGTGCGTGGGCCCCTACATCCAGGTGTGAGACCCGGAAGACGCTCCCGGCTTCTGGCTCCTGGCTTCAGCCTGGCTCAGCCCAGGCTGTTGTAGCCATTTGGGGAGTGAACCAGCAGATGGAGGATCTCTCTTTCTCTGTCTCTCTTTCTGTATAACTCTGCCTTTCAAATAAACAGATTTATTTATGTGTTATTTGAAAAGCAGAGTATCAGAAAGAAAGGAAGAGACAGAGACAGAGAGAGATCATCCATATGCTGGTTCATTCCCCAAATGGCTGCAACAGCCAGGGCTGGGCTAGATAAAGCCAGGAGCCAAGAACGATATGTGGGTCTGCCATGTAGGTGGCAGGGGTTCAAGTACTTGGGCTATCACCTGCTTCCTCTAGGTGCATTAGCAGGGAGCTGAATCAGAAGCAGAGTAGTTGGGACCTGAACCAGGCTCTCGGATATGGGGGGCAGATGTCCCAAGCTGTGGCCTCAGCCATTGCACCCCCGTGTCTGCCCGTGCTTAACTGCTTTAAACCAGCATTTCCAAAATTGATTTAGTCTCCTAACACCTGATAATGAGCCAAGAAAGGGCGGCAAGCACTTATGTACCCACACAGGGAAAAAGGTCCTACGCGTTACACACCGGAGTATGACCAGTGCCTACCTCTGGGTAGGAGCACTGTGGGCAATCCTTTTACAAACCAGCAAGTTTATGTTAACACCTGACCTCTTGTGGGAAACTGAAAGCCTTGTTAGACCCCGCAGGGGATCCCACGGCAGCTGTCCTTGGCTGGAGGTGGCCGGCCCATCAGATGGAGCAAGAACCCTCCAGGCCATAGCTCCAAATCAAAGGAAGTCTCTGAGCAGGCTCCGCCCTCCCCGCAGCCTAACTTCCCCCACCCAGAGGGTGGTGGACATGTGATCACTGGTTTTCCTTCTGTGCAGATGGCCCTGGAGATGTGGTGCCCTTGCAGGAACTAGGTGAGTGTCCGGTTAGGGGAGAGGGGTCAGGGGTGCCAGGCTGGGCCAGATCTGGGCGTCAACTTCCCGTGGCTGGGAGAGACAGGAACTGCAGTCCACTTGGGGCGTGGGCTCAGCAAGCAGCGGGGCTAGGGATTAGGAAGGGACTCCAGGCGTGAGGCAGGGCCACAGATGGCTGAACGTAAAGATCCCACGGTGGACAGCAGAGTTAGGGCAGTCCCGTGTTCTCCTGCGGCTCCAGGGTAGAGGCACCTGGTGGGGAGCCCCGGCTGGCCTGGCCCTGACGCTGTTTCTCGTTTCCAGGACTTCGGAGGAGAGGCTCTGACCCAGCAAGCGGTAAATACGGAAGCTCAAGGAGAGGGCAAGCGTGGCCTGGGGGCTGGGGCAGTGGGCCGGGCCGCCCACAGCCTGGGAGGCCGGTGGCCGCAGCTGGAGGGCCCTGGGCCGCAGGACAAGGACCTCGTTCCCGGGGGGCAGGGGCTGGGAAGGCAGGCTCTAGGGGTCCCACAGACAGCCACTCCCACCTCCGCTCCTGCAGTGGGCACAGGAGACAGTCCCTGGTGAGGCAGAGGAGAGAGAAGGCAGAGGAGAGAGAAGACCGCGTTGAGTTACCCATCCGTGTCGCTCTTGTTCCAGGAGAGGTGGAGGCGTCACGGTTGCGGAGACTGAACATCAAGAAGGACGGTAAGGAGGCTGCATTGCCGCCCGGGGGGCTCGGGTCTCTGGGGGCCCAGGACAGTGGCAGTCACAGCTGCCTCAGCTGTGTGCCCTACGGCTTACGAAAGCCTCAGCCCAGAATCAGCCCGAGAAGAGGGCGCAAGGATTCCCACTTCACAGATGTGGAAACTGAGGCTCAAGGTTGGGCGTGGCCTTGCAGCCAGGGAGTCGCATGGCCTGGGCTGGAGCTTTCTGCTCCTTGCGGAGTTACCAGGACAACAAACGCCTTCCAGGCCTGTGGCCAGGATGAGGAGCTGGGCCCGTGGCACTCCTGGGCTTCAGGCCTGGACTCCGAGGGAACCTCAGGGAGAGGAAGACAAGGGCAGGAGAGGAGACATGGGTATTGTGTTTACTTGTTTGGTTTTATTTTATTTGAAAGGTGTGGGGGAGCGATCTTTCTATTGGTTCAACCCCCAATTGCCCACAACAGTCAGGGCTGGGCCAGGCTAAAGCCGGGAGCCAGAAATTCAATGCAGGTGTCCCACATGGGTGGCAGGGACCCAAGGAGCTACCACCTGTGCCTCCCGGGTGCATATTAACAGGAAGCTGCAGCAGCAGTGTCCCTGAAGCTCAAGCCAGGCACGCTGAGGGCGGAGGCAGCGACCAACCACCGTGTGGCACACACCTGTCCTGAGACCATGGTGGTCTCATGGTGTTGTTGTTTTTTAAAGATTGATTTATTCATTTGAAAGTTACAAAGTTACAGAGAGAGGGAGAGACAGAGAGACAGGTCTTCTATCTGCTGGTTCACTCCCCAAATGGCCACAACAGCTGGGGCTGGGCCAAACTGAAGCCAGGAGCCAGGAGCTTCCTCCAGGTCTCCCATGTGGGTGCAGGGACCCAAGCTCTTGGGCCATCTTCCACTGCTTTCCCAGGAGCATTGGCAGGGAGCTGGATTGCAAACGCAGTAACCAGGAATTAAAGTGGCACCCATATGGGATGGTGGCATCACAAAAGGTTCCTTAACCTGCTATGCCACAACGCCAGCCCTGAGACCATGTTTTTTGATGGGATAACTGGCGGTTGTTCTAGAAACATCTCTTGCGAAAACCCCACCTCCAGCCAGTGGGAGACCTGGAGCTGGCCCCTGCTGTTCCTCTGTGCAGGGCATGAGCCAGCCAGGCTGCTTAACTTTCCTGGCCATAAATCAAGGCTCGCTGGACTAAAACCGAGTGATTCCCAATGAGCAGGCTGTGTCCCGGCTGCTTCGGGACACGCCCCGGGAACCGCGGCCTTGGTGCCCCTGGATAAAGCTACTGTCACACAGAGACTCGGGTTTGGAAGAGGAGGGCGTGGCCAGTGATTGCCTTCTCCCGCTCTGCCCTTCCAGATGAGTTTTTCCATTTCGTCCTCCTCTGCTTCGCCATCGGGGCCCTGCTGGTGTGTTACCACTACTACGCAGGTGAGGAGAGGGGCGGGCCTGGGGCTGCGGCTCACGGATGCAAGACCTGCAGGCTGACCCTTGTCTCCCTCCCCGTCCTCCCAGACTGGTTCATGTCCCTTGGGGTCGGCCTGCTCACCTTCGCCTCCCTGGAGACCGTGGGCATCTACTTCGGGCTGTGTGAGTGCCCCCGACACACACACACACACACACACACACGCACATGCGCACGCATGCGCTGCAGGGACTTGTGCTGGCCAAGGGCCCGAGAGTCATGACCCAAACATTTTTTTTTTTAATTTCCTTTCGCTCCTGTTTTCTTCCACTTTCAAGGTCACTGTAAGGTCCCTGGCAAAACCTCATGGAAAAAGTGGGCAGCGCCATAAAAAATGCAGCAAAACAGTTTCAGGTGGCAAACACAGAGGGCGAGCCAGATAAAGAAAATGGGTTCAGTGTAGCAGGGGCTGTGTTTGCCAAGTTTCCTGGCTCTGTTGTTGCTGTTTTTAGCAACAGTGACTCTGGCACCGCGGCCAGGCCCAGCCTGCCGCCTTCGATTCCTCCCCAGGAGCCCTGTGTGGGCCGGGCCAGTCCCGGGCGGGTGTGGGGGAGGGCTGACCCCGCGGCCTCGAGGGGGCGCGGACCTAACGCCCCTCTCTCCTTGTTTCTGAGCAGTGTACCGGATCCACAGCGTGCTGCAGGGCTTCATCCCTCTCTTCCAGAAGCTGAGGCTCATGGGTAACCTTGAAATCCCTCTTCTGCTCACGCTCTCTCCCCGGCGGGGCGCAGGGGGCCGAGCCTGGAGGCAGGGAGCCTGGGTTCCGGTCCGACCCCTGCCGGTCCGCCAGCTCCGCACCTCTGGCCAGCTCTGCGACTTCTGTCAGCCTCGGTTTTTCTCAGTGGGCGGAGTGGGTGTGGTGCTTTCCTGGGACACAAGGGCCTTGTGAAATGCAAATGAGCAGCAGACACAAAAGGTTTCAATGTGAGATGGTGGGAAAGCGGAGGGAGTTGGGCCATTTCTCACTCTCTCATAGAAACTTACCCGGCCTCGAACGCTACACGTCTGTGGTTGTGTTGGCCGAATAGCAACCGGGCAGGTACACGTCAGTGTTCTCACTCTTGACTGACAAGGGAGCTGGGGCTCAGAGAGGTGCAGGGCCTCGCCCAGGGTCACCCAGCTGGAGAAGCTGGGCTGGGCGTAAGTGGATCCTGTTTATTTACTTACTTGAAAGTCAGAGTTTCAGAGAGTGAGGGAGAGACAGAGACAAAGCGATGTCTTCCATTCTCTGGTTCTCTCCCCAAATGGCCTCAACAGCCAGGGCTGAGCCAAGAGCCAGGAGCTTCCTGCAGGTCTCCCAAGTCCTCAGGTCATCTTCTGTTGCCTTCCCAGGCAGATTAGCAGGGAGATGGATCAGAAGTGGAGCAGCCAAGATGAACCGGCGCCATATGGGATTCTGGTGCTGCAGGCCTGAGCTTTAACCTGCTGTGCCATAGCGCCAGGCCCAGCCCGATTCTTTACCGGCTCTGAGCCCACCGCAGCATCTCAAAACAGAGGGGCCAGGTGGCTCTGTGTCTCTGCGCTCCTTAAATCCACGTAGCTAATAAAGGAAGCTAGTTGCTACGGCTAGTTATCCCTTCTGGGGTGACCACGCTGTGTCCACCGTGAGGGATGCGGGGGCATCCGGGTGATGGCAGGGGCGAGACCTGTCTGCTCTCAGAACCCCATGCTGACCTACCACCTTTGCTTTCCAGGGTTCAGGAAGACTGACTGACACCACTGCCGGGTGGGCAGCTAAGCCGGGCCCCAGCTGGGCCTCCCCTTTCCTGGGCCCATGAGGACAGAGAGACCGGAATCCTGGGAGAGGCCAAGCCAGAGCAATAAAGAGAGCGCTTTTGCTTCCATGTGGTCTGAACGTTGGCACGGCCCCGGCCGGGGTATCGTATGGGCAGCGTGGGCGCTCGGGGCGGCTGCCTGCAGGGAAGGCGGGGGAGGGTGCGGGACCTGAGCCCTCCCAGCACCTGTACCTACAGGGAGAGTCTGGGATGTCTGCTCTCTCTCAGGAGGCAGCAAGAGACCCCGGGGCCCTGCTGCACTCGGTCAGGGCCGTGCGGATTCTCTGAAATGACCAGGCTGTCCGCGTGGCCTCTGGGGTCCTGAGGAGCCATTGCGTGGTAGGCCAGCTGATGCCCTGGGGTCCAGGCTGGGTCCTCTGGGCGCCCTGATGCTGGTGAGAGGTTGGGGACTAAAACCACAGCTCTGGGCATCTTCCCCAGCCCCGCCCTCCACCCAGCAACAGCCCTGTTGCCCTGGACTCCAGCAAGATTCAAATAAACGTTCTCTTCCCTGTGCTGAAAGCAGCCAGCTAAATATCCCTGTAGGTTTCCTGAGCACAAGGACGGGCGTGCTTGGGGTCTCCCCGAAGCCCTGTCCTGTAAAAAGCGTCAGTGGATACAGCAGCTCACTCTGGCTCCGCGCCTTCAGCTGCACGGGGACTTGGAGACCCTGAAGAGCAGGATCTGGGGCTGTGGACGCTCAGCTCAGCAGGCAGCACCAGGAGACAAAGGCACAAAGCAGAGTCCATTGCAAACTTGAGTTACGTTCCTGGAGGCACGGGGTCCAGACCGAAGAGGTGACCGCAGGTCCTGCTTGGCCCTGGCAGGGCCACGCCGAGAGCCAGAGCTCCCATCTCAAGGCTGCGGGTGGACTAGAGAACACAGACAAGCAGGGACAGAGCGGGAAGATGAGAAGCCACGGGGAGATTGACAGCCCTTCAGCTGGCAGAAGAGAAGGTGGGCGCTTCGGGGGCTCGTAGCCTTGCGGAACTGCTCCAGGCACAGACACTATCTGGCCTCATCCTCCCTGCGACCTTGAGTCGCCCTCAATTTGCATGGGGGAAACGGAGACTCAAAAGGGCTGAGTCACCCCCTCGAGTTCCCGCAGCAAGGAAGCGGCCGAGCTGCCGTGTGACCCGAGCCTGTGCTCTCCTTATGCCAAGAGCGTGTCACAGAGCTGCCCCGGGCAGAGTGTCCCGGAGGGCGCCGAAGCTGTCCCCCGTGGCTCCCAGCCTGTTGGATTTGTCAGATAGAAAGAAACCATTGTAATATTTTCTTTGTTTACTTGAAAGGCAAAAGTGACAGAGAGAGAGAGAGAGATTCCACCCGCTGGTTCACTCCCCAGATACCTGCAACAGCCAGGCTTTGGGCCGAGCTGAAGCCAGTGGCCCAGAACTCCACCTGGATCTCCTGCGTGGGCAGCAAAGACTCAAGCACAAGTGAGCCGTCACCTGCTGCCGCCCCGAATGTGCACGGGCAGGCAGCTGGATCAGAAATGGAAGAGCCTGGACTTGAACCGGCGCTGTGATGGAGGGAGCGAATGATCCAGATGGGGACTTGCACTGTTGCACCTCAATGCTCACCACCACCAGCCCACCCCCAACCCCCACCAGCCCGCTGGAAAAATTTTCTAGAAAGGGAGCACAGGGAGCTGCTGACACTTCACTTTGCCAGCTGAGGACAATCAAAACAAAAAAGTCGAGTGCCAGCGTCCTTTATAGAAGGACAGGCTTTGCACCAAGGAGCCACTGAAATCATCCGACGCAAAATGGTTGAAAGTGGAATAAGCCGGCGCCGTGGCTCACTAGGCTAATCCTCCGCCTAGCGGTGCCGGCACACCGGGTTCTAGTCCCGGTCAGGGCGCCGGATTCTGTCCTGGTTGCCCCTCTTCCAGGCCAGCTCTCTGCTGTGGCCAGGGAGTGCAGTGGAGGATGGCCCAAGTGCTTGGGCCCTGCACCCCATGGGAAACCAGGAGAAGCACCTGGCTCCTGCCATCGGATCAGTGTGGTGCGCCAGCCGCAGTGTGCCGGCCGCGGCAGCCATTGGAGGGTGAACCAATGGCAAAAGGAAGACCTTTCTCTCTGTCTCTCTCACTGTCCACTTTGCCTGTCAAATAATAATAAAGTGGAATAAAATAAACTCTCTGAAAGTCCCTCTGGTGCCCTCCTCCCTCAGGTCGCCGGAGTCTGGCGAGAATTTTCTTCTGGAAACTGCAAGACTGGAGGATTTCTGAGGACTTTCACACTCTCTCGTTTCTGGGATTTGTCCAACCTCAGCTCCCGTACCCCATGTGAGGAATACCTCACTGCTTCCCAAAGCTGCTCGAATTGCAAAAATGTTTGACTTGTTCTGAGACTGGCTCTTCATGGCTTCAGGCTTTCCTTCAGAAGAGGAGATAAAAAAATAATAGTAGAGGATGAGGTTCTTTAATTCATTAACAAATAAAGATTGTGTGTCCATGATGGATGGCGTGATGCCCTGACATGTGTGTGTGCAATGCTTACATCACGTCGGTTGCCACACGTCAACGACGTACTTCACAGCTCAGGTGTGTTGCCAGCAGCTGAGGGCGCCATGTTTTTGGGTGGCCGCGGCCATGCTGCCCTTACACTCAGCTCTTGGCTGGGCCCCCCCATCAATGCCTATGGCAGGGTCCTCCAGCTTTGCCCTTTTCCCAGGCCTCCTTGGCAATCCCGGGGTCTTTGCAGCTGCACCCAACGTCAGCATCACCTTGTGAAGTTCTGCAGAGCAGCCAGTGGGGACGCTGACGGGCTCCGGCCGCCAGGACTGCCCTGGAGCCTCTCCCAGCTGGGCTAGAGCTCGAGGCCAGTGCCTGCCTGGGGTCTGGTTACATCTCAGGCATCGAGTGGATTCCTGGAACCCCAGTCCCACATGTGATCTAAAAATAATGCAGCTGCTCCTGAGCTCAGGGAGGCAGGGTGGTTAGAGCGCAGGGGAGAAGGCCAGGGCTTCGACGAGGGTGGCGGTCTGTTTGGGACTCTGCGTGGAGCCTCTGCTGCAGTCATGGGCAGGCAGGATTGGGGGGGGGGGGCATGGCCAGGCCCCACAGGGCAGCTTGTGCAGGGAGAGGGGCAGGAAGCCAGCCAGGGGGCCGGCAGCCACTTGTCCCCTTCTCTCAACACCGTCCCAAGAATCCTTGTTTTGTAGAGACCTGGGCCTGGATCACAGATGGAACAGGGGATGCGGCACACTGAACCTAGGAAGCTGGGCGGGGAGAGGGTTCACCTTCACTCCTGGTTCTGGTCCAAGGTCAGTCCTTGCTGCTGATGGCCCTGAGCGGGGTTGGGAGTCAGGTGAGAAAGGGAGTGTGTGTGAGCTGTAGCGGATCCATTCTCCAGATACCCCATTAGGCCACTGATGACCTGAACGGATTAATCCATGATGAGGGCAGAGCCCCGTCATCCCACCTGGTTCTGCCTTTTACCACCACAGCATGGGGGGAGGGCAGGGGGAACCATGGCCACAGGAAGAAGAAGGAAGGGCGGATGGGGAGACAGGCTACAGGTCTGACCCGAGCGGGCCCTGCAGTGTGCACCACCCTGGGCTCAGGGCTGCCCGTGGCGATTACCTGTCTCCTCCATGCTGTCTCTTCCGTGCATCAGTGGAGGTGGTGATGGACGTGCAGGATGACCCCAGAGCTCTGATGGGCCATGTGGCAGCAGTTGTTGTTGATACCTGCCCTGCGCCTCCCTGGTGTTTGCTGCCAGACAGATTTTCCATGCACGACAAAACCTGAACTCTTTTGTGCATCCAAGGATGCTTTCAACAGCGTGAAATGCCACCCCACAGAATGGGAGACATTTGGAGCTGTCTTCATAAAGTGCATAAAAAATGCATATTGTGAAAAAAAACTACGCATGGACTTTGTGGGGAGCAACCGGACTAGACAGAGTTACTGGAATTAAGACTTATTCTATGCATCTGCTCTCCCACAATATGGCGCTGGGAGAGAAGTAAACAGCTTCCGCACAGCTGCCTCCAGTTCAACTAATAAACTGTAGGACTTGCTCCTGATTGGAGGAGAGCAGCGTACTCGGCGTGTGGGCAGCCGAGTTGGGATTGGCGGAGGAGGACTATAAAGGAGGAGAGAGATGGCATTCACCGGGAACATCTATGGGGAACATCTAAGGGAACCCGTGCAGCCCCCGAGAGAACCGGCCGGCGGTGTGCCGCTCCCCTGCGGAAGTGGGGAATGCGGCCAGGGGGAACTGCCCTTCCACGGAGGTGGAAGGGATAGTAGCCAACCCGGGAGGAACCAGCAGCAAACCCGGGGAGGGCCGAGCAGACAAAAGAACAGCGCAGGGTTTAGTGTTGCTCCTCCACGAAGAGGGGGAGCGACAGACTTCACAAGCTTTTTGCACCAAAACGAGCTTATGTTTCCATTCCATTTTCTCTGATCTTTCTGAAACACTCCTATTTGTGAATCATGCCAAAGATCTAACATCCGGAGTGGATAAAGAACCCCTACAAATCAACAACAGCAAAACAACCCAATTCAAAAGCGTACAAGAGAAGAAGGCAAAGGACTGGAACGGACATTGCTCCGGAGAAATTCTGCTCGACGACAGACAAGCCCAAGGGGAGATGCTCAGCCCCTCCGTCGTAGGGGAAGTGACGGTGCGAGCCCCGTGGGGAGCCCTGTCCACGGCAGCGCTGCTGTTGGAGAGTGGCGCGGCTGTCTCTGCAAAGCAGGGTGCCCGCAGTGAGCCGTGATGCACCGTGGATTTCAAAGCAGCCAGAAGAGAGGATTTGGAACTTTCTCTCCACAAAGGAACAACACGTGTGGAAGGCGATGGCTGTGCTGGTCTGCACGAGTGACTCGAAACTGGGTACACACCCCAGAAATGGGACAGCGGGGGACCTCTGAGTAAGACCTGCAGGTGGCAGCTGCTAGTGTGTCAGTGCAGCTTCTGGTTCTCATAGTTGTGTCCTTGGGGCCAGTGCTGTGGCGTAGTGGATAAAGCCGCTGCCGGTGACGCCGGCAACCCAGATGGACACTTTTTTGAGTCACAGCTGCTCCTCTTCCAATTTGGCTCTCTGCTGTGGCCTGGGGAAGCAGTGGAAGATAGCTCCAAGTCCTTGGGCCCCTGCACCCACATGGGAGACCTGGAAGAAGCTCCTGGCTCCTGGCTTCGGATCAGCGCAGCTCCAACCATTGCAGCCGTTTTGGGAGTGAACCAGTGGATGGAAGACCTTCCTCTATCTGTGTCCTGCTCTCTCTCTTTGTAACTCCGACTTTCTTTTTTTTTTTTTTTAACAAGTACTTATTACCCATTGCTGTTTCATTGAGTACTGATTACCCAGAAACCTGTTAAAATAAATTGCAAAATAAGCTCAGCAAGTTACAAAGCAATATTTTCAAAGGTAGTGATCTTCCTAGATTCAAAGAGCAATTCCTTCAAACTCAGTGTCTTTTTACAGTTACAGTTGCCTTTTTCCTAAGAACATCTTAGGCCCATGATGTCATATTCAGTTGGCCGCGTGGGGCTTAGGCACTTGACCTAAAACCCAGCAGACCGGAGGGGTGGGATGAAGAAGGGAAAAAAGAGGGAGAAGGAAAGTGTAAAAGAGAGACAAGAGAGGAGAGGAGCTAGTGAGGAGAGAAGATAAGAGAAAGGAGAGAAAAGAAAGGAGACCAGAGGAGGAGGCTAGCCCAACTTTCAAATAAGTAAATATTTTAAAAGTAAAAGAAGCAATAATTGTATCCCATTTTTGTTAAACACCAGGAAAGGGGCATCATGGCTGTAACTTGCTCTCGGTTTCAGGGAGGGAAGGTACTTAAGGAAAAAGCAAAGTGGGACGAACACTGGGGGAGCTGGTGGAAGGGACACAGGGACATGGAGTTCTGTTCTTGTGACACTTCTGTAGTCTGAAATTCTGTCGAAAGGTAAAGGAAAACTCAAACCAAGCCCTGAGCACCCCACAGCTGCTGACACCAGAGGTGTTTCTGCTACAAACGCAATTGACCCAGAAATAGTGGACAAAAGCCTTAATCGCTGCTGCAAACGAGAGGAAACCAGCTGGCAAGTAGCACTGTGGGCACGCTCACTCATTGCCAGGAAATGCAAATTAAGATGACAATGAAATCCCCTACGCGCTCATGGTTGGTGAAGATTGGTGCAGACAGCACCAGCTGTAGCCCCTAGTCTCAGCGGGAATGTTCAGCCACTTTGGACAACTGTTTGGCACTAGCAAATAAGGTCAGAGATACATGCATATTCTGTGACTCAGCAGTGTCACTCTTAGATATGTGGCATGGAGAAATGGACATAGTTGTGCCACACATGTGTATGAGAATGTACACAGTACATTTGGAAATAGCCCAAGTGCCCATTAACAGGATAATAAATAAATCGTGGTGCAATCATATCCTGGAGTATTATACAGAAATAAAAATGAATAAACTCCACCTGTGGGGAGGGCATTCTGGCGCAAATTAAGATACCTCTTGGGGTGCCTGCGTCCTCTATTGAAGTCCCTGGTTCAAGTCCCAGCTACTCCGTGCTCCCCATCCAGCTTCCTGCTAATGTCCCTGGGAGGCAGCAAATGACGGACCAAGTTCCTGGGTTCCTGTCACCCATGTGGGAAACCCAGATGGAGTTCCTGGTTCCTGGCTTTAGCCTGGCCCAGCCTTTGGCCTTCAGGCATTCAGGGAGTGAACCAGCAGATGGGAGATACCTCTCTTGTCTTCACTCCCACTCTGCCTTCCAAAAAAGTCTTCAAAAACAAACAAAAACAACACTACACCTGCAGGTAACTACATGGATGGACCTTACAAACGTAAAACTGAGAAAAACTGTACAGTTTTATGTATGTAAAGTTCTCAGACTAAGCCAGAGCTATCTCGTTTAAGACACAGGTTATAAAACTCTAAACACGTGCAAGCGGTAACAGTAAACCTTTGCAAGCACCGGGCAACTGTGATTGGCACGGGAGGCAGGGGCTTAGGGCCTGGCGGGGCTCTGCTTCCCTACGTGGGCGGCGGCTACACGGGACTTCACCTTCACAATTTTCAAGCACAATGACTTAATCACATCAACAGTGATTTAATCACGTGCTAAAAAAAACCAAGCCTCTGTTCTTTGCTCACCTGTGGGTGCTATTACAGGACATGGACACAAGAGGGAGTGCGCACCAATGAGCCTCGGCGAAGCGAGGTTTCCTAGCAACAGAGAAAAACACTTGGTGGATCCTGGCTGCTGCACCTGCTGGGTGGGCGGCGGGGCTGCTCTGGCACCTGGCGCGTGACTGGTGGGGTCTGGAGAGTGCCTGACCTTTCGCCATGGGAGGAGCTCTTCTTCCAAAGGCCAAATGGGGTCTTCAAGAGCCAGGGAAGCTGCGCTCTCCGGCACTGAGCTATCTTCGTTCTCCAATATCATATAGAGACCCACCCCGGGCCGCAAGGGAGGGCCGTTCTCCTGTCAGCCTCCTCATACTTCTAGTGTTCCTCTCAAAGAAGAG